AATTAATAGACTGTCTGGGAAACCCAAGGGCCGGCCAGCTACCTTGCCAAATTAGCATAGCTATACAAAGGGGGAACACTGCCAGCATCTTGGGCACCTTGCCGCGGGAACCCTATTTTATTCATATAATTTAGTCCCAATTTTAGTTCATTAAATAATTTAAGATTTTATTATACCTTACTTGTATATTTTAACTTATTGTCTAATAAATGAACACAAAATTTGGATTAACCATTTTATACACAGCATTTTCATTGTGCGTTAGTGCTTATATTGATCCTATATGAAATGTCCAATGTAAGGAAATCATTGCGTCACTGGAAAGGCGAAATCACTAACATCCAAAAGTCCAAAATGGCGCTTTAGTACTTTCGCCTTTCCAGTGACGATTGAATTTTGTCAGTACGTTGTTGATACTTCTCTATGGAAAAGCAGTAGGTGGCAACTACACAGAAAGTACTTGGAAATGTTGCTTTTTGAGATTCAAACACGGAGTACCTCGTATCACGGCTCCGTCCCTCGCTCAAGGTCACGCGATAAGTGCCTACCGCTGAGTGTACGACGTCGGCACAAGCGCTCATACAAGTCTTTCATTTATGAGCATTCGGCTCCGCACGACTGAACACGGCGGGCAACGTTATTTTCACCTCTCCGAGCGCGTGTTTAGGTTCCTTTTTCTTCGTAGTGAGTGCGTGGTGTCATTAGTTAGATTTAGTAGGCTATTGTAAGTATTTTCGATTTTGTATGAGAATGATGTATCTGTTATGTAGTAATTATTAAGTAATCTGTGCCAGTACTATCATATTTTAATATTTAATTTTACGATAAACGCTATTACTGTCCATTGCAGGGTGTGAGACAGAGGAAAAGCCAATTAAAATGTTTAATTAAATGGAGAATATCAAAAACCATTTGCACACAGTTTTGTCTTTTCTAGAATACTCCGTTTACAATGTAGAGGAACTTTCCGAACTTTCTGAAACTGGGTCGAAGCAGTTCGAACAAGTTGTGAAACGTACCACGTGTGTATTCCCAAAGTCACTTATAAGTACCACATCCTAATTAGGCTTTAACATTTATGAATCGATACGTATACAGTGTGTTTTTCGTTTTTGAAATTTTAAATAGAACATTTTTTTTGTAATAGGAATCCCTTTTGAAATTGGTTTGTTTGAAAAAACAAATTTACACGATTTAGATCAGAATTGTTTCATTTCCTATGCGTAACAATCGCGAAAACCTATGAACTCGGTACAGTTTTATAATGTGCAAACATATTTTTATTAGAATTTACACAGCATTTGTATATCAGTCTGACTACAGGACCAGAACTCGAAACCTATTTTGTTGCAGGACGTTGCGAGGCGGAGTAAGACAGGGAGATGTTATCTCCCCAAAACTATTTACCGCTACACTAGAAGACGTTTTCAGGGTTCTGGACAAGGAAGGACTAGGCAACAACATTAATGACGAGTACATCACTCACCTTCGGTTCGCCAATGATATAGTAGTCATGGCTGAGACCGTGGAGGATCTCAGTACAATGCTCAATGACCTCAGTAGAACCTCCGAAAGAGTCATGAACATGGACATGGACAAAACGAAGATCAGGCCAAATAACCATATACGGCCAATTCCCATGAAGATCGGAAACTCTACACTCGAAATTGTTGACTTTTATATGTACCTAGCACAAATTATGCAGTTAGTAGGTCCAATTTCGAGAAAGAGTTAATCGTCGAATCTGACTCGGCTGGGTAGCGTTCGGGAAATTTCGCCATATCTTCTAGTCCAAAATATCACAGTATGTCAAGACAAAAGACTGAGACGTGGTCCATCACTATGGGCTTCATAAGAAGGCTCAAGGTCACTCAAAGGGCGAAGAGATCTTCATATCCTTTCACTTCGCTATTCAATTCTGTCCTATCCGTTTACGCCTTCCTATCTTAAAGATCGCTTTACTTTCCACTCTTCTACACTCTGTCGTCCCCTTCGCTCCCTGATAATCTCTTACTTAACTTGCCCTCTCATACCTCGTAACTTTTATTCCAACTCTTTTACCATTGCTGCGATCAGATTGTGGAATTCTCTCCCTGAATCGATTCGACGATCCCCTTCTCTTGATTCCTTCAAACAACGTGTCAAGGATCACTTCCTCAACTCCTAAATTTCGTCTGTCCTCTACTATCCTTTCATTTATTCCCTATATTTATACTTCATTTATTTTTTTTCCAATAAAAGTATATAAGCATTTAATATTATTGTGTATTTATTATTATGTATCTTGTATTTGCCTGGAAGAAATTGCTACATAGCAATAAGGCCGCCTATTGCACATTGACTTACTACTACTATTATACTTCAGCTATTGTATTGTATTTTAATTGTAATTTTATGTGCAATAAAAATATTTCATTCATTTCATTCATTCATTCATTCATTCATTCAAAGGGCAATGGAAAGGGCTACGCTCGAAGTTTCGTTGCGAGATCGAATCAGTAGTGAGGATATCCGCAAGGGAACCAGAGTAACCGACATAACAGAATTAAAAAGAATTGCAAAACTTAAGTGGCAATGGGCTAGGCGCATTGCTCGCAGAACAGATGGCCGATGAGGCCGAAGAGTTCTCGCCTCCAGGCTGGAGATATGACGGGCCCATAGATATATTTCTATATCTATGGACGGGCCTAGAAGTACTTCCAGGCTTGTATAATTGCATTTAAAAAAAATAGCTAACTATGTGAAATGGCTAAATATACGTTACAATCAAGTATAGTACTTGCCTGATCTAAAGCAATAAATTAATTTAATTTATCATTTTCGTTGTTGAAGCAATAGATGTAGCATGTTAATAGAAATTATTAAAACAATCGTATAACTGAAAACGTTACTAAACAATTAAAATTTAACCAGAATAAATTAATAATGGAAATCAACGCAGGTGCATAAATTTCATCACATAATCATCTATTGTTCACGTTATGACCAAGTCTATTTATTCTCGGAAAAGTAAAACAATATAAAGTTTTCAAAACTTCAATTGCGATTGTATTGCTAAACCCTTTACCTAAAGCAATATACAGGTGTAATTTGCAGAAGACAGACGTAATTTTGAATTTTAAACTCAAAACCTTCGACTTTTTTTCCAAATTATAATTCTAAAGTCAAAAGTGCAGAGTGTCTTTGGTAGTTATAAAAAATATGTTCAGTAGACCAAAAATATGTTTGTTCCTATTTTTGTTGTCTCATTCAAATTCCTTTATTCACACGAAGAGACAAGACAAGAACTTAGAATACCCGAAATTGCAAAACCATCACGACACCACCGAACTTTATAATATTATAAGATGGAAGAGTCAACCAGTTTTTTATGCAGCGTCGGTGGAATATCAGGAAATAGCCGACGATCCTTCAACTGAAGAAAGTATGACTGACAAATCTACAAACATAGTACAAAATTTAACAGTACAATATTGGACACCAATATTTACCTCTTCAACAGCAACGCCGTCGTCAGAAATCGCTGACATATTTAATGAACCACAGAAAGAACATGAACTTTACGAACATGAACATAACGAACATGACCATTATGAACATGAAAGTAAAGACGACGAACACAAAACAACACGAAAACAAAAGGTTGTAGAAATCACAAACACGACATTTGAAGCCATAATAAAAGAAGACACAAAAGAGATATGCCCTCACTTCGTATTCGTCAAACAGACATTTGACCTGGAACCAATGGCCGATATTTGGCAAACGGTTTTTTTCTCGCTGCCAAGCAAAATCCAATGCTTCAAAATAATGATTAAGAGAATCACTGATCAGGTACAACATGAAATGGCTTTAGTGAGATAGAGATTAGAAGGGAAATATCTACTTACCAACATATCGGGAGAGCGATAGCTCGCGTTAGGCGAAAATGTCGCTGGCTCGAATCCAACCGACACGAAGGAATTTTTCTTTAAGTTTGTTCGATTTTTCTATAAGTTATAACAGTATCAACTATTTTAACCACTTTTTTTAGGAAAAGAAACAATATTCTAGAAAGTACGGCAGCTTTAACGGTATAGTGAACTGGGCGGAATGTAACCTTGAAATTTGGGCTGCAACCCAAAATGGCCGAAGGCATTTTTTGCAAGGACTCAACGAAGATGACGGGATTATGGACAATATTATTATTGAGGATCCTGAAGGTGAGAAAGGCGGTCATTTTGAATTTGAATACAATATAATTATTGACAATGGCTTACTATTACTTTAACTCTAAAAAAGGAAGCGCAAGTTTACATAAGTTATTTAAAATTTTGCCATTTAGCGAGGGCAAAGATTTAACCTTAGCCTTAGAGTGAAAACTTCAACTACGCATTTTTTTACTTATTTCATTTTAACTAATTTAAAAGTAATGCAGCACCCAAGGGAGATATAATTAAACTAATTTAAATGCTAACTACAACAACGATGATGATACATCTATCTCAAAATCACCCAAGTCATCAAAGATGGTTTAAAATTGCAGAATATCTAAAATGCGAAGTTGACAAATTCTATACACTATATATAAGCCTATATTGGCACGTGATTATTTTAAACAATAAAAAGGTCGGTGTCTTTTTCACAACAACATTTAACTCATTCTGAATGTTGTTGTGTAATGAGCAATGAGAAAAAAATTTACAATTTTGGTTTAGGCTATTATTCTTGAATAGCAGTGACGTTTTTATTACGTAATACAGCACACTGTCTTTGTTCTTTTTATAAGAATCCATTTAATTCACATACGAGGTACTCTCTAGGCGACGTTATGTTTCTCGTCACAATAGCATTTTGGTGGAATTCAAATTAAAAAACTCCGATTTTTTAATTACAACAAATGATCCAACATGCGCAATCGTCATAAAAATTTAACGAAACTAAGTATGAATCCTAATTCCTTTACATTGTATAAAATATCTTTATTAAAGGCAGCGGGATGCTAAAAAAGATAAACTAACATACAGACAAATATAAACTTATATCAATTGTAAATGAAACTATTTTTCCGGGTTAAATTGCCGTGTATTTGTTTTTTCAAACAAACGGGGCTGATTGACATTTTAAAGTCATCAGCAGTTATGTCTAAAAAATTGTTGTAAAAAAGCTCGAGCCTGGGAGTCTACATCGTAGGACTTGACTCCAGTCCCCAAGACTCGACTCATAAAGACAGAGACTCCACTACTCAATGCATTACGAGCCTATCGAGTTTCCGAATAGACTAGAGTTCGACATTAATGCTCGAGTCTATTTATGTAACGAGTCGAACTCGAGTCTGGTAAGTACCTACTGAGCGATGTTGTGGTGTGATATATTAAACTGTAATATAATTAAGTATTAACATCTTCTTTTTTATAGATCACCATATTGGGTTTTTGTTTTTTTTTGTTTTTTCGTGGGCAATAGTAGTTGTTCAGTAAAATTGAACCCAGTTTGTCGTACTCGAGACTTTGTAGAGTAAAAATCGCTGCGAGTTGATTTTTCGAACTCGATTTTTGTTTAAAATTCGAGTTAGGTTTACGACTCGAGTCCGTGCTATGATGACTTGCACTCCATTCGATTCGGAGTCGTGAGTGTTTTAGGCCACTGAGTAGTGCAAAATTGAGTCGAGTAATACATGTAGACTCCCGGATTTGAGTTTTTTTTTACAATACTAGTTCTGTATAATATTAATAATTATAACTTTTTATTTTTTAAATTACCTCAAAACTTAGCTCCGCTTTCGCGGTGTTCGTTAACGTGGTCTCCTCAACAGTAACTGATCGCATATGGAAGTACTCGTCAAAACAAATAAAATTAGCCCAAATTGAGGAGTTCCTCTCATCTGTCTGCCATTTCCATCATCAGTTCAGCTCTAGTTCACCATGTCATTTCAATTGCCTGCGTGACCGAACGGTTACCATGCCGGACTATCACTCAGAGGTCCCTGGTTCGATTCCCGGGCCGGGAGAAATATTTGTGTGACCATCATTTATTTCTCTCGTGAGTTTGGGTGTAATTTGTGGCTGTCTATGTGTGTGTCCATGCCACACACAGGGATTCTCTAGTGCGGGGCTAGGTTGAGTGTGTGCGTTTTTATTAAAAAAAAAACTTTGGAATTACATCTACGTGGCAAGTTTCATTGAAATCGTTTAACTAGATTGTCGCCCTAACTTGCCACTCTTACAGATGGAATATCTTCTTTAAATTTGAATTGGACCACTACCCGCTTTTCAACAAAAAAACAACAGATCAGTTCACAAATGCATTGCATATATGTAGCATAGCATATAGCATATAAAAACAAAAAGTTCCTCCTCCTGCTTTTCGGTTAAAAAATTGTTGTAATAATTTCAATTTTATTCATTTATTACGAAGAGGTAGGTATATATATATATATATATATATATATGTATAGTGTGTGTGTGTGTGTGTGTGTGTGTGTAATATCAAATGAATGTCGAACAAGTCGTGCGTCAGATGGTAAGCTACACGCCTGTCCATAACAGTTGCAGTGCCACTCAGAGCTTTAAGTCGCAAAAATTTGAAGGGCACTGCCGCAGCGCCCGTCATCCCGACACATAAGTTGACAAGTCCCATGTGCCTGTAATTTCACCAGCACCCTTACCCTTTCAAAACCGGAACACAGTAATGCTGAAATTACTGTTTGGCGGCAGAAATAGGTAAGGTAGCAGGACTTCACTGGACGAACTTTCACAATCGCGAAAATCTAAGCTCTATTCATATATTTGTATTTTACAAAAATTAAAGCAGGACATAAGAGCGGGTCCACTATGTCAATATTCGTAAAACGAGCACCGCCTGTATTTTGAGCATCCTACAGTAGGAACTCAATTTCATTCATTCAATTAAGTCTTGGTAATCAAATTTTGATTAGTTCCTTAAAATAATAAAACATTGATCGTTTTTATGCTATTACGCTTTGTCTAACAGTAAAGATAAATTAATAATGTTATATTTGTAAAAATATTTTTCATAAATGCTATTCTTCTTAACGTAAATTACATTTTCATAAATGTACTTTAAACGTAGTGTAAGAATGTTAATTTCTACTAGTTACACTATACACTTGTATACAGTTAGAAGTTCATTAAGCTCGAAACTTGTCGCTTGTCCCATTGTACAGCTTCAGATACCACTTCAGGAGCAAAATTAAATGCTAAAACCGTTGCCGTGATACACGAAGAAAGTGCAGACCAATGGTTGGTCTACAAAAACCTTTTGCTTCTAAGAGATTGCGACAATGGTGGTGTTGTCGTGTTCATCAAGGTACCAGCAAAACCTTCAAAGACCCACATCGTAGAAGCACTAAAAGTTTTCGGAGAAACAACCTTCAACGGTAAAATGGCATGTGAGGAAGAAGAAGAAGTAAGCCCTGTTAAGTATTATTATTATGACGATGATGCTAATAATCTCTTTTAATGTTGTTATTGATATACTATTTTCGATATAGTGTGGGTTTTTATTTCATTTCTATGTTAACTTATTTATGCTTACTAAAATACTAATATGGCAATGCCTAATCCAGGGACAGTTAGTCGACATATTCAAACGCTTACAAACAATCAAAATAATTGTAACCCTAATTTGCGATAGAACTTGAAAAATTGACACATAGGTACTTTTTCTACTCCTGTAACCAATATCCAAATATAATTTCCTAAACGATATCACAATGGTGCTTTTTTAAGTTCTGAACCAAAATTCTATTGTCTATGGTACTCGCTACTGAACTGAAAAATGAATTTCAAAAAAAGAACATCGTATTTTTGCTAATTAAAAGTGTTCCTAAATAGAATAACGTCGCTATGTTTGAAAAATTACTAAAATTAAAATTATTTCATTAAATAATATCTCAAAATGTTACATAACAGGTTTAAAGACGTAACCATTTGGTAAAAAAGAACTACACACATCAAAAGTGTCTAGGGATCAAGTACGTTTAAGAGTATTGCTGCAATTAGGGTTAATTATATTAACTTTTTTGTATCGCGATTGATACAGAGTTATCTGTCAAATAGATACCAAAGGGTTAGGATTGATCAGTGCTTTAGTGATGATCTTCCTGTTCAACATGGAGTGCCGCAGGGTAGTGTGATGGGACCAACTCTCTTTCTAACTTATATTAACGATCTCTGCGATCTTGACTTGGGTGAGGGCAGGGTTGTCTCTTTCGCTGATGACACGGCACTTCTTTTTAGAGGTGATTCTTGGAAGGAAGCTTATAATGAGGCACAAAAGGGTTTCAGTAAAGTAGCTAATTGGTTATCAACAAATAAACTTATGTTGAACATAAGTAAAACTAAATATCTCGCCTTCATGACCAAAAAAGCTTCTATTCCCGAACATGAGAATATTGATATTATTGCCCACTCATGCCAAGGATCACATACTCCCTGCACATGTCCTACCCTTTCTAGAGCCTCATCCATCAAGTACTTGGGTATTATTGTGGATGACACTCTTAGCTTTCGCCAACACATTGATACTGTATCAAACAGAGTCCGTAAATTAACTTACATTTTTAAAAGCCTTAGACATGTTGGTGATCCCCGAGTTATTAGAATGGTCTATCTGGCACTATGCCAATCTATTTTGATGTATTGTATCACGGTATGGGGTGGAGCGCCTACATCAGCCCTGCTTCCTCTCGAAAGAGCACAAAGATTAATACTCAAAGTGTGTCATTTCCTTCCACGACTTTATCCAACTAGTGAGCTCTATAAGCACTGTAAAGTCCTAACTGTCCGCCAATTGTTTATCTTGAATGTCACTCTGTTCAAGCACTCTCAATTATCTTACGATCCAACCTACAACAATAAAAGAAGGAAACACACTGTGTGCTCCTCAGTAAAATTCCGTACTAAATTCGCAGGTAAATTCTTCTGTTTCCTGGGAAGTTATTTATATAATAGATTAAACAATATACTTGCCTTCTATCCTCTAACTAAAAATGAATGTAAGACTAAAATTACAAAGTGGTTACTCAGTCTTGATTATCAGTCCACTGAAGATCTCCTAGCTATTCAAACTCTATGACCTCCATACCTCGCTGCTTAACCCAACATGTAGCTCCAACACAAAATCACAAAAACACAACACACACACACACACACACACACACACACACACACACACACACACAAAACACACACACATGCACACACTCACACACACAAAAAAAACAAACACATACACAAAATTTTGTTTTATTCCATTACTTTCTTATATTATTAAAATAATCAGTTATAAAACCCGCTCTCTGTAATTTAGAACATGGTAACACTTATATTATGTAGAATACAGTGCGATGTCCGGTTGGTGAGTGCCTGGAGATCCGTAACACAGGTCAAATCCTAGTATGGACTCCAGTCTCTTACAAAGATGTACTAATAATAAGTCCTTAATGTAAATTACTTATTTATGGAATAACGTTGTAAGAGAGAAATAAAGATTATTATTATTATTATTATTATTAGTGAGTTTTAAACATTTAAATAAGGAATATTGTTTAAAATGCGATAATAAGAAGAAAATCGATTGTCAATGTGGTTTTGTATAAAAATGAGTTATAGCGTTTTGACAAAATCATTACAATATCTGCATCGGAACCGAAACAATTTACATTATTATGGAGAGACGACATCATTTAACCCGAGAAGTGATGATGCGAGCCGTCGGAATGTTGGAAGCTGGTTCCAGGCAACGTGCTGTGGCTTTCACTCTTAACACTACACAGAGCGTCATAAGTCGCCTCTGGACGCACTATCGCATGATGGGCAGCGTGGCCGAGCGACATGGAGGACGATCTCGCATCACGACTCGTAGATAGGACCGGTATATCAAAAATACTGCTCGACGGAATCGTACCATGACCGCCATGATGTTGGTTACGAGGCTCCACAGCTCCTCAGGCTTGCTAATAAGCGATCAAACAATCCGAAATCGTTTACGTGAAGTGGGTCTGCGATCCCGAAGGCCGCTCAGAGTTCCACCTATTGCACCCTGCAATCGCAGGACCCGTTTACGATGGGCTCGCGAACACAGAAACTGGGAGGAAGAAGACTGGCGCTATGTGTGCTTTTCGGATGGATCCCGCTTCGGTATGAGACCGGATACAAGACGTACTCGAGTCTGGAGAACATCTGGACGTCATGAACGTTTGAGATATTGTCAGGAAGTTCATCCATATGGTGGGGGAACAATAATGATATGGGCCGGTATTTGGATCGGCGGAAGAACCGATCTCATTTGGATCAGGGGTAACCTCAATGCTCAAGTTTACGCAGAGAGGATTGTTTCAGATGTTATCATCCCTTTGCGAGGCCAGTTGGGTGATTCATTTCAACTAATGCATGACAACGCACGTCCACACACGGCTAGAGTCGTAACACGCATTCTTGCCGAAGCTCGTATCAACGTTCTGCCGTGGCCTGCTCAATCGCCAGACCTCAATCCAATTGAGCACGCATGGGATATGCTTCAAAGAAGAGCTGTGCCGAGTATGCATACCGTACATACTCTACAACAATATTTTGACTTGTTACAAAACACATGGGCGGCCATTCCTCAAAGTGATTTTGATGAACTCATCTTAAGCATGCCAAATCGCTGTAATTATGTGATTCGTGTTAATGGTGGAAATACAGATTATTGATTTTCTTATCTTTACAATAAAAATGAGCAAAATCATCATTTTCGCCATTTTTTTGTCATTTAATTGACGCCGTTAATTTGAGATCCCACAATTTGCAAAAACATCAATTTTAGTTTATATTAATTAAATATAGAGGTAAGCGGTTAAATAAAACATAAGCATTAAAGTAAGAAGTCGTCCTGGAAGACTGGATTTGGTAAATATTGCTTAAATAATTTTTATTTCAAAAATATTCACTTGATCCCTAGACACTTTTGATGTGTGTATATAAAATGCCGCGGCATTGCAGTGCGTCGGGAATGTTCGCGGACACGCGAACGGACGGTTTTCAGATCATTATGCGTAAGCGAATGGTGTCGTTGCTGAAGCGCATCTGTGGCAGCTCCAACAGCGTCCTGGGCCCTATAGCGGAGAGAGTCGATGGTCATTTCTTCAGGCATGAGACGCTTTTCACATGTCATCGAGGAGGGATTGACTAAAATATAAATTTGTGTATTTTTGTGTGTTTACTAACTTAGGCATAAGGTTATAATTGTTACTAACACAATATGGAGACATTATGACGTAAACAATTATTATTATTATAAAAACAATAGACATAAAATAAATAACGTTACTCAAACGCCCTACTGCCTCCTGATTGGTTGAAATATAAGCGGTACTTGGCCAATCACGGACACTTCTATTCTTTCTCTTTGGTTTTTTTATAGCGTTTGTTTGGATTTCATTTAAATACTGGTTGCGTTTCATTATTTTAATTTACTCGAAGAAAAAGTATTGTATGCCAACGTTATTATAATGAGGATTTAAAATCTCCAGCCTATTACCAATTAACAACAATTCACGGTACAAGACTTTAAGAGCCCTCATTATACAACGATTACATAAAATACTATTAATACGTCTCCATTTTGAATGCAGTCTGTTACGGATGCAATAAACTGGGATTTGTCGAATGGTAGTGTTTATTCCGGAGCTCTACTTCACTCCAGTTTATGTTCGCTTTATTAGGGCCTTATTTATTTAAACATACAATTAATAAAATGAAGAAAGTTTACATACATGACTTAAAATAGGAGGTTAAATGTACAGTCGTTCAAGAAAGTAAAAAAGTAAGCGTACAGGTTTGGTCGCAAAAAATTGCAAACTTATCTAATTAGGGTATTTACTCTGTTAAAAAAAAACTTTTTTTACGTTTTCATATCACACAGTTCAATATGTAAATTTTCATGAAACTCGTTAGCCCTCCATAACTTTGTAAATCGGTGTTGAAGTGAACTTCTAATATCTAAAGCCAGCATAAAACCCTACCAGTTAATAATAAATAATAATAATCCCTTTGAAGATAGTTTCATAAATGTCTGGGGCACTGGTTCACCGCAACGCAGACTAGCAGTAGAGCTCCTTGTGAAAGAGTTCGTCCAGGCAAGTACTTATTTCTAGTAATGTGAGCATTGTTGTATTCCAGTACAGAAGGGTAAGGATACTGGTGAAATTACAGGCACAGAGGACTTGTCAACTTATGTATAAGATCTTTGCGATTTAAAGCTCTGAGTGGCACTGCAACTGTTATGGATAAGCGTGTCGCTTATCACCAGGCGCACGACTTGTTCATCCCGTCACTTGGTATTATTAAAACAAACAAAAAGACTTACAACCTAGATCAGTATGTTGTTATGACTAACTAAGGAGCAATATGTTGATCCGCAGGTTCGCTATATGCACAAAAAGTGTTAAACAACCTTGTTTAGAGTTTATTGTAAAACTTTCAACACTTGCAGCTTCTGGATCAACTGTACTTAGAAAGCTTTTCAATGCGCTGTGTCCTATGCATATAACAATGTGTTCAAGATGCTGATGGAGCTGCTGCGTTACTGTAGTGCAACGGGTATGTTCGCGGAGATCCGCACGGATGCCTTTCATGCTGTCATGCGCAAATCTGTTGCATTCCTAATGATACGCGTGCGCGGCATCGTCAACAGTCTCCTGAACGCAGTGGCTGATACAAATACTCACATAGGCCGCAAGCTAGATATGAGAAACGAGGAAAAAATTGTCAATTCTTCCCCATTGCTCGTATACAAGTAATATGTAATGTTACTAACATAGTTTATAAAACCATTGCTATACTAAAACATATGGATACATAACACTTTTGGAAATCTGAAATAACTGACAAATTATTATTATTCTTATAATCTCACGACAGAAATAAATCGGCAATTGGCGCTCGACGTGGATCTAGTGTTCGGAGGCAGTACGAGTCGATAGTTTCCACGAAATATCGCATAAGGACAAGACGGACATGGCCTACGTAGCCGCTGCAGTTCCCTTTGTCTAAGGCAATATGTTAACAAAAATTTTGATTATGATACTGAAATAACACAATATATTTTCAGATACAGTTATTTTAATCGACACAGACTTGACAGCTCTTGCGATTATAGTGCAGAAACCTCTTTATGGATTGTTTCAAATGCAATTAAAAAAAATATGTTTCGTGTGTGAGAGCTTTAAACCCCAAAGGTCTGAGGGGCACTGCCACAACGCAGCAGCCTGCAGTAATTTCACCAAAAATGTCAAGCAAAAGAAAACAAAAATGTGAAACTCTATTGATAGCACTATACATTGACTTACTATTATATGGACGTCGGGTCCGCGCTAAAAAGTGTCCGAACTTATAGGGCGTTAAAATCGTATACAGAGCGTCATTCACGCTTCAGTCTTCGTTTGCTTCTTCTGACAGCGAAGCAAGCAAAATTAGACAGTACTACGATGACATTCCAATTTAAATTCAACGTTTTAGCTTTTTCATATTCCTTTACATGTCGCTACGTTTAAATAGGTTGACTTGGGACATTTTTTTCGTGGTTTTTGTATTAGACCCGTCGTCCATTTATTTTTAAGTCAATGGCACTATAATATAGATTTCAGTCGGCCCATAGGTATCGTTGGATTTTAGTGACATTTTCTGTAGACGTTGCGAATATTATTATTAGTTCGAGAACGAGAAAACATACGTATGTGAATTAATAATAACCATTTTCTTATCATACACTAGGGAATTTCCTGTCCTATGAGTTTCAGAACAACTGAATTCAATCCGGGGCACTACATAGAACACCGGGAACAGAACAAATAATAGAAACGTTCATTTACCAAGTTAATTCTACCGGGACTTCCTTATCAAGAGCCCACAGAGCAAACTATTGGCTCACCGAGATCGCGTAGAAATTGATCCAAGAAAGTCCCATTATTGTCGTTGTAGTAACTAAACCGAAGAAGCATGCTGGTTAACTCTAGCTCGACACCAGCAATTAACAGTAGAGCTCATTGTGAAAAAGTTCGTCCAGGGAAGAACTGTCACATTACCTACTTCTGCCGCCAAGCAGTATTGTCAGCATTACTGTGCTCCAGTTTTGAAAAGTAAGAGTGCCGGTGAAATTACAGGCACATGGGACGTGTCAACTTACGTCTCAGGGTGATGGGCACAGTGGCATCTTTGCGATTTAAAGCTCTGAGTGGCACTGCAACTGTCATGAACAGGCGTGTAGCTTACCATCAGGCGCACGACTTGTTCGTCCGATGAGGCGTCGTCGTGCTCCTGATGGTAATAAATACAAGTGATGACTAGTTATTACAAAAAAATTAACACTAGGCTACTCGCATCGATTTTGCATTTATAATCGCATTTTTTCTAGTGAATGGTAGGATCATCTTTCCAGGTTCTCAAGAGGCGGGAACAAGCTACAAAATTCTATAATACACAGCCAGTGGTTCGACGATCAATTGAAGGTCGCAAGAGGCCGTAAGATGCAGGCGCCCAAAGGCAGGTCGTGGTTGTATTCCATTGGGAGAGCCTATAGCAGAATTGGCCATCTACCGGATTATGATAACAACGTTCACATTAAATTTACTAAATAAAATTAATTGTAATGATAATACCACTAGAGTTTGTACAATAGAACGAACATTACTGGCCATGGTACTTGTCTGTTCGATGCTAGGAGTGTAATTTTAAACCGGAGAAGCGGAGGAAGAGTTGTTTTCCCTTATATAGTTTACAATGCTGTGTTTTCATTACACGTTAGACACAGGATTCCTTAGTGGTAAAATAAAACAACCGTATTTTACATAGGTCAGATCTTGGTTACGACTCCCATTCAGTAGGTTAGGTTAGGTCAGAACATGAAAAACCAGCACGAGCCGAGCGAGCGTGGCGCGGCAGCGGCCGGCGAGTGCCAGGTACGAATTTGTTTGTGTTTCCGAACATGTTTTCAGGTCAAATAATAAATTAATTTAATATTAGTATTAGATGTCATTTTTGGGAAATAATAAATTAAAATTTAGATATAACGACGTTATGTTAACTGTGGTTTATAACGTAAATAGTAAATAGTAACTTTTAAACAGTAGAATTTAATCAGTATGACGATTTCAAGTGTACCTATGAAATAAACATTATTTAACTTGACTAACGTATGATCGTTATTAAAAATAAGTGTTAGTGCAAGTGATCCTCATAAAAAATTAAATTATAGGATGTAAGTTTATATTAAACGTTCGTTGTACGTAGTGAATTACTATATTAAATGAGTTAATACGAAGTAAAATTATGCCAATGGAGTGTTATGTGAATAATATACCTATAAACTTAAATGAAGTTAAAACTTCTCAACATATCCGAGAAGTACACAATGTAGAAATGTTGGGCATAACCATTGACTCGCATTTGAACTGGAAAGCTCATATTAACAATGTTAAGAAAAATATTTCCAAATTCATCTATGCCCTAAGCGTCCTAAAAGTTAACACGCATGCAAATTGTGCCTTATCTGCATATTACGCGTATGTGTATGCTTGGCTACGCTACGGAATAATTCTTTGGGGACAAAGTACAGATGCGCATGAGCTCTTTGTCCTCCAAAAAAAATGTCTCCGTATTATTGTGAACATCCATCAAAGAGAAAGTTGTAGATCACACTTTATTAAAGAGAAAATGTTAACACTCACGTCCCTTTACATGGAAGTAGCATTGTTTGTTCGTAACCAACCACAATATTTTGAAATTAATAAAAATCCTCGTCGCCAGTATAACCTGATCCTCTCTCCACCTAAATTAGAGATATACAGAAACAGCCCATTGTATAGATCTATTTTAATATATAATAAAATTCCAATATTAATTAAAAAAGAAAATAATATAAACACTTTTAAAAACAAACTTAAACAGTATCTCGTCCAAAAAGCATACTACTCTATAAATGAATTTTTATCAGAAAATAACTCACGGAAAGCTCACGTCTTTAATAATTAAGTGTGAAGTATAATAATTTAATTTAATTTAATAGTTAGTTTTAAGTCTCCTTGCTACACCCTGACGGGGTCATGTACCATACAAAATTTTATTATAAGACCTTTTTTATGTACATGTGCAACTTGGAAATAAATAAATAAATAAATAAATAAATAAATAAATATTTATATGATACATTACACACCCGTGTATAGGCTCTGATGTGCCAAATTGCCGCCTGGTCAACGTGGAGATGATGAATAACACTATTATTACCCACACGGAACAAACATACAAACATTCTTTTTTATTTTGTGTATAGATGTGCAGACAGTTACCATACTGGTTTGCCACGCAAAGGTCCCGCGCCCGGAAAAATATGACGTACATTTATTTCTCTTATGAGTTTGAGTGTAATTTGTTGTTGTCTATGTGTCCATGGCACCCGTGTCACGGGGTGTCCCTAGTGCGGAGCTACGAGGGTTTGCGTTATTTATTATGTCAATCTAGTACAAACAGTAATCCAATTTAACCTTTTATAAAATTTATTCAAGAAAAATCCTCGCAAAATTTAGATATGAGTTATATAAATATTGACTTTCCCGTAGGTAGGCACAGCGACAAGTTCGGCTGCAAATTTCCGATATAACCTGACACATAGTATCATTTAGTAGCAATAGCAGAACAAGACCTGTTTATACTGGTAGTTCGTTACGTGTAGTTTGGTCGTTCGAACCTATGCTAGCGTATAACTTAAAACGGGCTAAAGTTTAAAACTGCGAGCATTAGCTGCGAACATATACGTTTCCCTTACCTCCGTTTGTCTGTTTGTGAAATCAGTATCCGACTTACTCTAGTCAACTATCACAAACATAAATTGTTAGGAAATGGATCCTCTACCATTTTAAACTGTTAAATGTTTCCCATAGCTTATTCTGTTTAACCGCTCACGCGATACATGCAGCCGTAGACGCATACCACACCTAGAGGTGCCGGTGATGATTTTATACCGATTTATCGGATATCGAAGTTATAACAGGTAAAGGAACTAATATTAATTGCTATTTCGGTAACTACTGTAGCAAACCATAAAGTTTTTAATGCCTGGGTCTGTCATTTAAAAAAAATAAACAACTTCAAAAATACGTCACGACAATCGTGTGTGTTATTGTTTGGGCTGGTGATTTCGGTGTTTATTTATTGAAAACATACCGTAAGTAGCGTTTTTTAAGTTTACCCTGAATATAAATGTTTATAAACTATACTTTAAGGAGTAATTTCATGGTAAACGTTACAATCACTCAAACGGAATATTATCATATTTATCCAAGTACACCAAAAATTTCATTAGTGCTGTTTAAGTGCAGGATTTGCAGTGTATTATTGCATTTTATTTGAGATGTTTTTGTTGGTAGTACGGAGGGTATTTATTTATCAATGCAGAATAATAATTTTTATTTATAAAAACTGGTATTAAAACTAAATGCTTTTCTAATTTGCGAAACCACATAGCCGCAATTTTGCGGTAGGAGGAACGCATCACGTGAGCGGGTATGAAACTACCTATGTAATTAATTTAAAGCTTAATTTGAAAAAAAATATTGGACTATTTCGATATATCATCGTACAAAATAGTATTTATTTATTTATTTGGTATTCCAACAGAACATTGTATATGTTCAAAGCCATGCAGGCGAATGATCTTACGCCAAAACGCTTTTATCACAAACTCATATAGGTAATAGGAACTATATGAAACAAATTACGCATTAAGTGAAAGAATGCCTGTCCGCTAGTGCCTTTGAGTGTCTTGAGTGCCTTTAAGTCCCAGCGAGTGATTTTGAGTGCCCCCAAGTGCCTATGAGTGCTTTTGAGTGCGTTTGAGTGTCTTTGAGTGTCTTGTGTGCCCTTGAATGCCTTTGAGTGTGTTTGGGTACGTTTTAGTGACTTGGAGTGTCTTGAGTGCCTTTGAGTGCGATTGAGTGCCTTTGAGTGTCTTGAGTGCCTTTGAGTGCCTTTTAGTGCCAGCGAGCGTCTTTGAGTGACCGCGAATGCCTTTGAGTGCATTCGAGTACCTTTGAGTGCCTTTGAATGCTTTTGAGTGCCTTTCAGTCAAATGCATTCAAAAGCACTCGCAGGCACTAAAAGGCATTCAAAGGCACTCATGATACTCAAAGACTCTCGAAGGCACTCAAGGGCGTTCAAGATAGTCAAAGGCACTCAAAAGCACTCGCGGTCACTCCTGGCTTTCGCGGGCACTCAAAGACACTCCGGGCATTCAAAGGTACTCGCGGGCTCTTGCGGGCAATGGCGGGCACTCGCGGGCTCTCAGAGGGATTCTCACGCACGCCTTGCTACCTCGCACAACTCTTGTGAAATCGCCGCCGGTGAATGAAGTGGTTTGTAATATAATGCTCGCAAATGAATCTTGAATGTTACATTACAGGCAAATGTTCTCTGTGAGGGAACGCCCTAACACAGTAATAGTTATAGTACTGCTTGGAGGAATAGGTAAGGTAGCTGTACTTCCCTGGACAAACTCTTTCACAAGGAGCTCTATTGCTGTTTTTAAGTTTATTGAATGTCACGATGTTTGACCACCATGATATTCAACTATTCTTGTGAAATTACTTACACTAGTTTGTAATAATTATTAATGCCTAGATCGAACACTTAAAAAAAAAGTCTGTCGATCCGGCTGAATTCGAACCGACGTCTTCCAGCAAACAGCGCCAGACACTATGCCAACTAAGCCACGGAACGACCTAGTGGACGTTACGAATTTTTCCAAGTGCTTGTTGCAGATCTTTGTTATTAGTTTTTAATTTCTTTTTGCCGCGGCGCCATCTATGAGAGTTCTAAGAAAGCTCTACTGCTACTAATTTTCAATTCAATTCTGTAGATATAAATCATTAATTAATTTATGTCTCCTTTTAAGTTAATAATAATAAGAAACGTAACATAAGAAAAGAGATCACTGACGTGCGCGATGTGACCTCCACTGAAATAATGTCCATTGTTTTGTCCGCAAACGGGTTGATTCCAGTCAGCCTCTCACGTGTCGCTTTCAGTACAAATGCAGAAGAAGATGCTGCTTGATACAGCACCTATTGTTCGCTGGTTCTTGAACCCGAGGCCGCCTCTTCCATTTAAAAATTCTAATCTTTTAGTCCATGAGAGAGGCGAGAGGCGAAAATACATATTAAAAATAATTAAAATCAATGTATAATTTACATTTAAAATGCAAATGAAAATAATTCATTTTTCGATTCATGTCAAATTACTTATTACAATATTATGACTGAGTAAAACAAAATTTGACGTTGAATCTTTTGTCTTGCACAAATTAAAAGTACATTTACTAACACCCGTATGTTACTTTTAAATGTAAATTGGGTGTTCAGTAAATAATTATTCATCTTCCTTATTCATGAACGGAATAGGGTTTGCTATTATAAAAAATATTTTACTTACTATATCAAATTTGAAAGATTCCGTCTTAAAACTACCCGACGGTCATAACTGATTTTCTCATTATTGGTACAGCACACTAAAAATACTTTTTTTACAGGAATTTTCTTTTGAAAATACGAACTTTGATCAGTTGAAACAAGAGGGTTGATATCGATATGTGGTAGGCTTGTTAGCAAGACTTTGAAATCAACTAAATAAAGGACACAAATGAGAAACTCTACATTTATCTTGGGATCCTGACTGGGTCGACATCAAAGAAATTACTACTAAAATATTTTACCCCACTGAATCTGTAAAGGTCCACATGTATGGGTTACGCCTCATTAAGACGATGTCAATAACAAGCCATTAAATCTAATTAAACCATGTATTTGCTTTAAGCACAATTATATACGTACAAATACAGTAATACAATTCACAAGCCTATTGCATCGATATA